TTCAAACTATCAGATTTCTCAGTAAAGTGTTGAGCAGGTTATTGGATACATGGGTCTAGAGTCCAAGATGGAGGCAGAGAATTAGAGAGACACGTTTGGGAATCACCAACATAAAATCAAACTTGGCATTGGTAGGTTGTAAAATGCTATTCAAATATAAAGTATCATTACTAGTAGTTACTCTTGAACAACACAGCAACAATCATTGGCCCACTAACCCCTTGGAACACCAAAGTTACTTTTTGAAGAATGAAATAATGTCATTTGTAGCAATTGATGGATCTAGAGATTATCATACTAAGTGAAGTAAGTTAGACAGAAAAAGACAAATATCATATGATATTGCTTATATGTGGAATCTAAAAAAATGATACAAACAAACTTGTTCACAAAACAGAAACAGACTCACAGACTTAGAAAACAAACTTAGGGTTACCAAAGGGGAAAGGGCAGGGGGGGATAAGTTAGGAATTGTGGATTAACAAGGGCTTCGCAGGTGGTGCATTGGTAAAGAATCCGCCTGCCAGCACTGTTTATAATAGCCAGGACGTGGAAGCAACCTAGATGCCCATCAGCAGACAAATGGATGAGGAAGCTGTGGACTGAAGTAGGAAATGGTAACCCACTCCAGTATTTTTGCCTGGAAAATTCCATGGACAGAGGAGCCTGGCAGGTTACAGCCCAAGAGATCACCAAGAGTCAGATGCCACTGACCACTAACTGCACCGCACTGGAGGTTAACAGATACAAAATATAAAACAGATAAACAACAAGGTCTCTCTATATGGCCCAGGGAACTATATTCACTATCTTGTAAGAATCTATAATGGAAAAGAATCTGAAAGAGACTCTATCTATCTATCTATCTCTGAATCACTTCAGTGTACACCAAAAACTAACAGAACATTGTAAATCAACCATACTTCAATTTTTAAAAAAGATACTTTATGAAAAACATTTTTTAACAGAATACAATTTTTTGGAAAATAGGATATATATATACAAGTGCTAAATTTTTATTGCTCTATTTCTCAATTATTTTATTGTCAATTTTAAATACTAAGAAGTTCAGAGGTTCTCAACTGATTTTAGGCTTACAAAGTATTATCAATTGGAAGCTCTGAGAAGGCCACATAATGACATCTTCTTCAAGAATGCTTATCTTCCTAGGAAATGAAGAGCTCAAAATGTGGAATACAGTCTCAAAAGAATCTCGAGGCTGCTAGGTCAGCTACGGTCTTGATAGGAATCATGTAATGAAGGATATGCTACTAATCTTTGATAAGGAATATGCAGGTAGTTTAAAAATATACACACTTTTCAACACTTCATCCTGTAAGGAGAATTGAAAGAAATATCAATTAAGGTTTAAGCATTGAAAAATTGATTATTGAGGATGATACAGTTTATGGAAAGTACAAGGATGAGGGTTTATAGAAGGGAATTCCCCAAATAATGATTACATGAAATCACTGCCAATCCTGATGCTATGCTGGGCTCAGAACACATATTTTGCCATTTTGCTGTTACATATCTACATGTCAGTCCATCAGATTACAAACAGGACTATTTAAGAATACAATATTGAATACAACATTGCTCTGCAATATTTGAAGTAACAACACTCAAAAGTAAATTGTTGAATTTCTAGCTCTGGAAATGGTGGAGTGGCTTGTATTGAACTAACTCTCCTTCAGGTGGCGGTTACAAACTCTGGACAAATATAAAGCTTAACTATTTGAAGGCCCTGGAAAAACCACCAAAGTCAAACAGAAACTGGGTGGGGGGATTGGAGCCCCGAGGGAAGAGAACCAGGATGACTGGCGTCTGGGGCTACACAGCATCTCCGATATCTCTTCAGGGTGCGTCCCAGTCTACACCAGCAGGGCAGCTAGAACCGGAGCAGAAGACCGCAGGGCTTCTGGCTTGCCGGAGAGTGGAGGCTAGGGCTGCCGGCAGAGCTGGAAACCGAGTGGGGGAACCACAGAGCAGCCACAGGGAGGAAGTCCCCCAAATCTGGGTACAAATTCACCTTACACTCTGGGCTGACCCCTGACCTGGGCTTGTTTAGACAAGACTCCAAGGACACTGTTAAAGTAACAGCTGGAAAAAACTGCTGGAACGGAGCAACCGTGTTGTCTGCTGGCTGCCAGGGAGACCGAACCCAGTGTTCAGTCTCACGGAGCTGGAAGGGACCGCAAACACCGCAGGCCTCCCATCAGAACGCTAGAAGGGCCACAGGGAGTAAAGGTTATAGCCTAGATCCAAAGAATATACCCCAAAACGAATGGCAAAACTAAAACAAATTCATCTTTCTTTCTTTATTTATTTTAGCCATACCGCATGGCATGTGGGATCTTGCTTCCCCAATCAGGGATTGAACCCTTGCGCCCTAGAATGGGAGCCCAGAGTCTTAACCATTGGATCACTAGGGCAGTCCTTTATTTTGTTTTATTTATTTATCTGTTTATTTGCAAACCCATCTTTAAAAGTGCAATACTAGGGAATTCCCTGGTTAGGACTCTGGGCGTTCATTGCCACGGCTTGTGCTCAATCCCTGATTGGGCAGCTAAGAACCTGCAAGCCATGGGAAATACGCCCCAAACAATTAACTAAATAAGTAAATAAAAGCATTTAAATAAGTACCTCTAATGTCTCCATCTGTATGGAGCCAAAGTTATACTTACCAATCAAAGACTTGTGTTGTGTTTTTATTTTTTATTGATGATGTTGGTCTTTACTTTTATTTTTTAAATTTCTGTATTTTTAACTGGAGGATAATTGCTTTATAATATTGTGTTGGCTTCTGCCATACATCAACACGAATCAGCCGTAGGTATACATGTGCCCCTCCCTCCTGAGCCTCCTTCCCACCTCCCTCCCCATCCTACCCCACTAGGCTGTCACAGAGCGCTGGCTTTGAGCTTCCCGAGTCATACAGTAAATTCCCACTGGCTATCTGCTCTACATACGGTAATGCGTATGTTTCAATGCCACTTTCTCAATTCATCCCACCCTCCCCTTCCCTCTTTGTGTCCACAAGTCTTTTCTCAATGTCTGCATCAAGGTTCATATATGCATTAATATATGATATTTGTTTTGCTCTTTCTGATTTACTTCAGTCTATATAATAGGCTCTAGGGTCATCCACATCATTAGAACTGATTCAAATGTGTTCCTTTTTATGGCTGGGTAATATTCCATTGTATATATGTGTGGTGTTTTTACAACATGAAGTTTACAGTTACTTCTCATGCTTTAAAAAGTTGCATTGATTTCCTGAGTTTTTAAACTTTAACCTCCTCCCACGGTGACCCAAATCAAAAAGTATGCATTTTAATAAATGAAAAAAAGTGGGAATGAAAATTGGAATTTCAATAGTCACTTCTCTTTATGCTGCCCCTCTAGTATTAACAAAATTTTTTTTTCAGAGCTTTTGAACTTCCTTTTGGTCAGGAATTTGATGACATATCGTATTACAGTAGAATCATCTAAATCAGAGAATAAAACATAAACAAAGTTGCTGAACCTAGAAACATATTGATAAAGATCAGCTCCACAAATTCCTTTGACAGAAGCAAACACACTTGAGGTGATATAATTTATGACTTCCTGTGAAACAAGACAGATTCTAGGCTTATTTGTGAAAGTTATGAAGTGAACTGAATAGTCTGTGCAAACACAGTGCAGTGAAGTAGCTGCTCCTTGACAGACAGGCCAGGTCTCAGGTTCCCAACCCTGCCCTGTGGCCCTTCAAGATGATCAAAGTCATCCATAGGGATTCTTCCTGGCTAAAGTTCCAGTTGGGTGTTTTGGCTTCAGTGTTTTTTGATCTCCTCCATGTGAGCCCTCCCTGGCTTCTGCCTGAAACTTCTGGGACCACCCCCCGGGGGCAGGTGCAGAGGGTCCCAGTGCTAGGATGGCACCACCTGTCTAAGTCACATGGTCCTGTCAATTTGAACTCCTAAATAGTCCTTGTTCTATCTCTGTCATTACTGCTATAGTTGGATCCACCACTTTTTCCTGATCAATTGCCATAGCCTCCTTTTTATTCTTTCGCCTCTAGACTCACTACTGAAATCTACCTTATCCACTGCTGCTTTTGTGATCTTCCTGAAATGCAAAAGTGAGCATGTCACTCCTCTGTAGAAAATTCTTCATAGTTCTCTTGCTATTGCCTGGTAAGTTTCATAGCAGGCTATAAGACCTCCATGATCTAACTTATGCTTCTTATGAATACTTTCCCCGTTTTTTTTTTTTTTCACTTTAAGCTATGACAGAACCATGATCATGTCTGTCCTGCTATCCTGTCATTATTCCAGAGCCTTGACACATCATGGATAACTGCTAGCAGGTACATCACTGCCCCTTGTCTCATGCTTCTAATTTATGGGCCTTTTTGCTGGTTAATTGAGCTTCTTCTTGGTAGAAACACAAGTGTGCCCTTCTCTCACAGCTCAAGGCTAGTTACTATCACTAGTGTATTTATTCACCATTAACTCATTTATCTTGGGATTTACCACAGTCTAACACCGTGACTGGTACTAAATTCTTTGAACGAATGAGTGAAAATGAGTTCAGGAGTGTGGCCCAGGAGTTAACATATATGTGTGAAGTTGACCAATATAAACAATTGCAATCCAGTGCAATTCAGTTTTCCCCCGGCAGTACATGTCTAAACAAAATACAAGGATTACGAGGCGAACAGTTGGCTTCCTCTTGCTCTTCACAAACCTGGGAACCAGATTTAATGAATCAAGACTTTATAGAACGAGTCGGAACAAAGGGCAAACAATCCAACTTCTTATAAATAAGCGCAAAGGTAATCAAGACTGCCCCAAGCCCCAAATGAAGACAGCAGAAGAACAGGGACTCCCGCGCCTTCCAGGCCTTCCCGGAGGCCCCGCCCCTCGGGAGGCGGGGCGAGAGCCCATGGGCGGGGCCTTTCCACTCAACCCCGCCCCATGGGCGGGGTGTAAGCGGGAGGGCGGCGCGGAGGCGGACGCACGCACGCCGTTTCCTAGGAGATGGAACACACTGGCCGCCGGAGCTTCATTAGGGAGCTAACGAGGTAAGCGGCCGGCGCGGGCAGGTAATCCCGAGCGGGCAGCGGGGCTGCCGCCGTCCGTCCGACCCGAGCCTGTCCTGCGAGGCGGCCCGGCATGTCCCCCAGGCGCCCTGTCCTACCGGGGCCGACTTCTGCTGAGAGAAGGGGCCTGGACACCGGTAGGGGTGGAGGATTGGAGGGAGGAGGACTCGGGGAGGGGCGGGGCTGGCCGGCGGGGACTGTCTACCTGCTCCCAGCGCGGTGGGTTTGCCCCGAAGCGCCCCTGGCCACTTTCCTGCGCCCCTGGCCGGCGGGGTTCAGTCCCGGGTTGGAGGATGACAGTGGGCGTACATCAGCTTGGGAGACCCTCACCCCCGAATCTATGCTAGAGTCTCCCACCGCACCCCCCGCCCTCACCCCGGAACTCCCCCTCTCCCTTTAGTGCCTGGGCGGGAGGGGACGCTGCTCTGAGGAATGAGGGGGCGGGATCGGGTCTCGGGAAGGCAGCGGAATGAGTTCAGAACTGTTACAAAAATGAAAAAGGAGGAAAGAGGAAAGAGAAACTGGGTCCAAATTCAGTGCTCACTCGTGCATCCCAAANGTGTGTGTGTGTGATGTGTGTGTGATGGGTGTGTGTGTGTGTGTGTGATGTGTGTGTGATGGGTGTGTGATGGGTGTGTGTGTGTGTGCCCAGAAAAGGAGAGACCCTTCGCTAAACGGGCTTTGGGCAAGGTGTTTGATCTATTTGTTGGGATGGGTGTGTGTGTGTGTGTGTCTGTGTGTGTGTTTTGATTTGGTTGTGCTTCGTTTTAAAACAGTTTGTGAATATTAGCACAGAACACCATACTTTTATTTTTTAAACACAAAATCTTTGTTTTCCCATTGCAAAACTTCCCTTTTAATTTCTGTAAAGATATGACTTGGTTAGTTTGATAACTTTTTTTCTGTTTTGCTTTTTAAACAACTTAATGGTTTTTATGGCGTTACTTTAAAAACAAACAAATGTTAATTCCAGCCTCAGAGTAATAAAATTAGGGCAGATTGTACCAAAGCAAGTTGAAGACGTGCAGAGGTTATCTGCTCAGTGATTGAGCAGACACAGATTTTACCCTCCATTTGCCCTCTCTCTTAATCTTCTTTAATCCTTTCTAAATCCCTTATTAGCTGGTAGAAGCTGTTGAGAATAAAGCTCAAGCTGCACTTAGCTAAAAATAAGACAGCTAGAATGGGAGAGAAATGGTAAGGGTATTTATCTAATGTAAGTCTGTAATTGAGCCTCTCGATAAATGTTTTTTTTCCTTAAACCAGAATATAAGATGTGTATAATTCATAAGAAAGTACTGTAACTTGATTGTAGAAAATTCCAAGTTCCTAACAATTCTGTTAAATTAATTGAGGATCATAGTTAAATTACACTTATCTGTATTTTGCCTTGTTGCATACATATTGAAATACATACATGGAAATATTCATGTGCAAAAGAAATCATATTAATACACCCCTATTTTGCAGAATTAGCTTCCGGGGGTCCACAGAGAAGACCTGATGTTGGGAAAGGTTGTGGGCAGGAGGAGAAGGGGGCAAGAGAGGACGAGATGGTTGGTTAGCATCACCAACTCAAAGGACATGAATTTGATAAAACTCTGGGAGATCGTGAAGGACAGGGAAGCCTGGCATACTGCAGTCCATGGGGTCACAAAGAGTCGGACACGACTTAGCGACAGAACAACGCAACCACAGAGAAGAATACATGTAGTTTGCAGAGAAATATCATTGAATGTGAACTGGGGACCTATAGGCAGTCTGTCTTGTAAATTACATATACTGGTTTTTGACTAGTAAATCCGTTTAGGACCTTCCTATGCTACACTCATAAGAACAATTGTTTACGTGCTCTCAGTGAGTAGATGCTGTGCTGTGTTATGCTAAGTCACTTCAGTCATGTCTGACTCTGTGACCTGATGGACTGTAGCCTGCCAGGCTCTCTGTCCATGGGATTCTCCAGGCAAGAGTACTGGAATGGGTTGCTGTGCCCTCTTCCAGGGGATCTTCCCAACCCAGGGATCAAACCTGCATCTCTTGAGTCTCCTACATTGGCAGGCAGGTTCTCTACCACTAGCGCCACCTGAAAAGCCCTTAAGGTGAGTAGGTACATGGGAATAATTTTAAAAACCCTTTGTACATCTATGCCTGTCTACATTGGGCCATTATCCTTGTTTTCAGGGGGATAACGAGACAGCTGGAATGGTCAGCTTCTCACCCTGGACAGCTGTTTATTTTGTAATTTAAATGACTCAAAAGGGACCTTTCTGAAGCTTTGTTTGGGAGCATAGTATGTAAACTTGTGTAAGCTCCAATTGTCTTGGAACCACACATCAGACTTTTTAAAATCCATGTCACACCCATAATCTTCACCCCCTCAAACAAAAGAAGCTGAGAATCGGCCGTGTACCTCTTTTATTTTTCCCTGAATATAAGTATCCTATGCTATAGCACTTGAAACAAACCGTGTTTCCAGTGTTTTTTCTTTTCTTTTTTTTGAAGACTTGGAGTGAGGTTTCTATTACAGCCACTCCAAAACAAAAACAAAACATCCGGGCTTCCAAGCTGGAGCAGGAAGGCATCAGTGACTGATCGGTCTGTTGTGTTGTAATAGTACTGGTGATGGTATGGTCGATGCTTTTTACAGTGGAAGAGAAAGAGGCACTTCATTCCGCTTTTGCAGGGGGTTGAGCCACTGCAAGGTGAAATTTCCGCGTTTCTGGCGCCTCTTACCTCTGAAATTCTCTCCCACCCCGGGCAGCTCCCTCTTCACTCCCTTCTCTTTCGTCCTTTTCTAGAGGTGCCTACAATCGCCATCTACCTCTCAGACCCTCACTGGTTGTCCTCACTTAGGTGTCACCATGAAAATAATCTGCTGCATGCGCAGCAGATTGGCAAAGAAAAGATGCTACTATTTATCCCATTAAAATTTAATTCAGTAACTTGGGGGTGGGGTGAAAATAGATTTCTTAACGAACTCCAGTTAGACTCCCTTCTCCCCAACTCACTCTCCCTTCACTGTTTCTGGCCTAAGTTTTCAGTGTCCTTCCAGGTTATCAGCATGAGCCAGATCTAGCCCCACGGTGTCGTCGGGGTGGGGAGAACCCCTGTGTACTTTCCAGGTTGTTTATAGCATCTTGCCTTGTTAGGGTGAGGAGTTAGGAATCTTTAGGGGGTGGTGGGGGTGGGCAGCCTTCACTGTGGGGTAGATTCTGCCGGTTTGGGAGTGAAGAGCGGTGGTTCTTTTAGCTGCATTAGTGATTGTAAAAGCTAGCAAGGATGGATTGTTTAGAAGTTGGGGACTGTGCTGAAATACCAAACAGCTTCAGGCTAATGCAACTATTAGACTAACTCCATCATTGATTCTCTTGATGGATCCTAGGTCATTTAATCCTTCTGCATTTTTGTTGTACATTGTTACTGATATGATGAACACTGTGGCCTTTTGGACAAATTTATTCTCTGTATTGTTACTTAACCAGAAAGAATTGGTAAACCTCTGGAGAGCACACTTCTGTAAAAGACCTTAAATAGAGAAGCTAGAAAAGAATGTCAAGCAATTTAGCGAATTCCCTGGTGGTTCAGTGGTTAGAACTTGGCACTTTTACTGCAAGCCGTGTGGTGCAGCCAAAAAAAAAAGAATGCCAGGCAGTTTAATATCTGATAATAAACTGCAAAATACTGACTTAATAAAATTCTAAGTGATCAGAAGGAATATGTTTTATAGCCCATGTTTTATTTAATCATAGCACAGAGTATTACCAAACAGACCCCCAAAAAGCTTTCAAAATTGTCTTTCCTTACCTAGATAATGGAAAAATTAAGGAAACCAAATACACATTTTAGTCAGGAACCATGCAGGGGGATGTTGCCTTTCTCTATATTAATACCCTCATGTTTAGAACCTGTGTCTATGTATAATGTAAAGACCACTTGCAAAAGAACTTCATTTTCAGGCAAATGGGGAAGCATTTGCTGGCATTTGTTTTTTTTTACACAAAATTCACATTTTATTTAGGTTGATGCTGGCATTTGTTGAAACCATTTGCTAAGACATAACTGAGCCAGATGAAGGAACCACTAAATAGAAATGGAATTTACTATTGAGATCTCTTTGTCAAGATCCTGGCCACAGAGGTAGTGTGGCCTAAACTACTCCCGTGCCTTTGAAGGGGTTGCTATCTGTCATGAAGTGAAATAAATGACAAATGAAAGCACACTCCCTGTTATTTAAAAGCGCCACAGGTTCTTCCAGGGCTTCCGGTGGACAAATGTGTTTCTGTATAAAGGGAACCACATCATTTTAGTGCACTTCTCTGCCGTGTTTCTGCAGAAAAGCCTATTTTTGGAAGCCTTGGGTACTTTGACAACTACAATATATTCTTGTTGCTCCTACATTTCTGCATCTAATAGAGAAGGAATTTCTGTGATTTTATCTTGTGGAAGTAGTGCTACAGTGAAAGAAAAATAATCATTGATTGAAGCATCAGATTATGAAAGGCATTTTATTTTTTTGGCCAAACCACGCAGCTTGTCGGATCTTAGTTCCCCAACTATGGATCGAACTCGGACACTCGACAGCAAAAGCACAGTTTCTAACCACTGGACCTCTAGGGAATTCCCTATAAAAGACATTTTAAAACAAGCTATGTCCTTTCATAGTGCCAAACATTGTTACCTTCTACAGCTAAGAATACAGCCTTGTAGCAGGAGGATTGATTTTTTTAAAGCAACATAAGAATGATAAACAGGTATGAAATGAGAAATTGTTCCTTGAATGCTGAATTGAGACAGAAGAGTGGGAGGAAATTATTGAACAGAGTTGTAATGAAGGAGGTACTATTGTTTTATGTGCTTCGTTTTTTTTCGTTTAATTGTAGTAATAAAATCAGAACCTATAGAAACCTGTACCCTTCCAATATATACACATCCACAACCCCTTTTCTGTAGTTTGAAATCCACAAAGCTCTGAGAGATGACTTTTCAGAAATTAATTTGTGCAAATTCATTTGAAATAAAATATGGCCCGAGTGATGTGAGGCCGCTTATGGTCTTCATTTCTTTTATTTAGTGCACTTCTCTTACATTTTTCTGCAGGTACATTAAGATGCTCTTTGGGAAATGTTATGTACCCTACTGCTTTTCTGTGGTTGGTGGTTTAGTCGCTGAGTCGAGTCTGACTCTTGTGACCCCATGGACTGTAGCCTGCCAGGCTCCTCCGTCCATGGAATTTTCTAGGCAAGAATACTGGAGTGGGTTGCCATTTCCTTCTCCAGGGGGTTTTCCTGACCCAGGGATCGAACCTGGGTCTCCTGTGTTGCAGGTGGATTCTTTACCCCTGAGCCAGCAGGGAACCCCTCTATTTCTTTTCTAAAATATGCAAATACCTGGATTCCAAACACATCTGGCCCAGGAATTTCACATAAGGGAGTGTGGCCCAAATTAAACATGATGCAAAAATAGATTCTAAGAATGGATATATTGGAGAATCTGATTTTGCACAGTGTGATGTGGACTCATATAGATTCTATTGCTGCTGTGTCATTCAGTTGTGTCTGACTCTTTGTGACCCTATGAATTGTAGCCCGCCAGGCTCCTCTGTCCATGGGATTCTCCAGCAAGAATACTAGAGTGGGTTGCCATGCCCTCTTCCAGGGGATCTACCCAACCCAGGGATCAAACCCAGGTCTCCCGCATTGCAGGCAGATTCTTTACCATCTGAGAGACCAGGGAAGCCCAAGAACACTGGAGTGGGGAGCCTGTCCCTTCTCCAGGGGATCTTCCCGACCCAGGAATCGAACCGAGGTCTCCTGCATTGCAGGCAGATTCTTTACCAGCTGAGCTACCAGGGAATAATAGATTCTATTATAGTCATTAAAAAAAAAGGGGGAATCACAAACATCATTAAGTCAACATTTATTGGGTTCAGTTTCATTACATGGTACCATGTATTAATAAATGAAGCATTCTACAGTGATTTTCAGCAGTCTATCATATGTGAACGTCATTCCACATAGCACAAGTGATTTATTGACACATGCTTAAAAATTAGTATTTGTCTTACAGTTTTCCTAGATTACCAGTAAATTTTTGGAAGTGATGCTTTAATGAGCATTCCTTTTATTCTTGTTGTTTTTTTACAGGGTGTTCATAAGAATGGAAGCACCGTTTCCTTGCCAGATTCCTTACTGCTGCATCTTATGAACCTACAGAATCTTGGGGAAGAACCTGTATTTAATGATGACAAAACCTGTCACCAGTGTAGCAAGAACGGCCTGAGGGCAGAAACGAATAAAAATAAAAGACGCGTTTATATTTATATTCAACAAAGACGTCCTTTCCCGTGGACAGCCTGCGCTGCATCATTCTTCCGAGATGAACCGGTACACGACCATGAGACAGCTGGGGGACGGCACGTACGGGAGCGTGCTCATGGGCAAGAGCAACGAGTCCGGGGAGCTGGTGGCCATCAAAAGGTACCTCGGGCGACCCTGCCACGTTCACCCCTTTCTGTTCCTCTCCTTTGCTTGCTAAGAACGTACACAAGCGCAGAGAGAAGTCTGGTCCAGACCCCATGCTTGTAGGCCATGGTGGAATGCCATTCTGGAGACAGCACTGCAAGAAAGGAGTTCTGCTGGTCCCCACGTATATGAGTTTTATTTTCGGATTTGTCCAGCAAAATAAGGGCTCTGCTTTTTGAAAAAAAAATTTATTTCTTTTTAATTGGAGGGTAATTGCTTTACAAGGTTGTGTTGATTTCTGCAATACATCAGCGTGACCCAGCCATAAGTGTGCATATGGTCCCTCCGTCTTGCACCTCCCTCCCACCCCCACGCCATCCCAGCCTCTGCGTGGTCCCAGGGCACCAGGCTGAGCGCCCTGTGTTACACCCAGCCTCCCATTGGTTATCTGTTTAGGGCTCTGCTTCTTATGCATGACAACTCTGAACTGAGACTGAAGGTAATGCATAGAATTTTTCTTAGCACTCAAAGTGGAGTACAGAGTAGAGCTTATTATTATTTCTTTTAAAACAACAGGCCTCAAAATCAGATGGTATTCACAATATCAGGCTGAGTTCTGAATGGTATGGTATTTCCCTGAGCTCCATATGAAATAGAGGAATTATTAACTTAATGATTTCTTTAATCTACTGTATTTGATATCTATCATATGTTAAAAAAAAAATTACCCCAAAGCTTAGTGATTTAAGACAAGAACAAACATCTGTTAACTCATGGTTTCTGTGGGTCAGGAATTTAGGAGCAGCTCAGCTGTGTTTCTGGCTCCAGGTCTCTCTGCGGTGATGGCAGAGATCGGCCCAGGTCACAGTCATCTGCAGGCTGGACCGGGGCTGGAGGACGCAGTTGGCAAGCTGGTTCGCCGTGTCAGTTTGCTGGGGCCACTCTCACCAAGTACCCCAGACTGGGTGGTTTAAGCAGCGTATTTATTTCCCCACGGTCTGGAGGCTGGAAGTGAGATCGAGCTGTTGGCAGGGTTGGTTTCCCTCAGACCTGTCTCCTCAGCTTGCAGACAGTTCTCTTCTCCCCGTGTGTTCACCTGGTCTTCTGTCTGTGTATGTCTGGGTCCTAATCTCCTCCTCCTTAAGGACACCAGTAATATCGGATTAGGACCCACCCCAAAGCCCTCTGTTAACCTTAATTACCTCTGTAAGGTCTGTCTCCAAATGCAATCATTCTCCGAGGTACTGGGAGCTTAGGACTTCAAGATATGGATTTGGGGGGACACAGTGTGGCTCGGACTGGACTTCTGTATATGCCAGTTTAAGCCCAGACTGGTTGGCTTAAACGGTAGGGATTTATTGAGACAGTTGGGAGGTTACAAGTCTAAAGTCAAGGTGTCAGCAGGGTTGGTTCCTGCTGAGGGCTGGGAGGAAAGGCTCTCTCCTAGGCCCCTTTCCTTGGCTTATCGATGGCATTTTCTCTCTATACACCTCCCATGTCAGCTTCCCTTGATGCATATTTCTTTGTCCAAATTTCTTTTTTTTATATAAAGACAAATTTATATAAAGACAATTTCTCTCTATATGGGGCTCTACAGATCGTCACTTGAGTGTTCCCATGACACGGTAGCTGGCTTGCACTGCAACAAGTCTTGGAAACTGATTACCACTTCAACCAAAGGATGATCATCCAAAATTTAAATGCTTTAACAAATGTTTATCAAATGTTAAAAAACTTTAGAATATGATGATCTAAAATATTACATATATAAGGAAATACTTTTATAAAGTATTGTCAAATAGCCATTAGTATCAGGTAAGTAAATGTATAATGTATAATGAATGGGCTTCCCAGGCGGTGCTAGTGGTAAAGAAACCTCCCGTCAGTGCAGGAGACTTTAGAGACGTGGGTTTGATCCCTGGGCTGGGAAGATTCCCCTGGAGGAGAGCACTGCAACCCACTCCAGTATTCTCGCCTGGAGAATCCCATGGACAGAGGAGCCTCATGGGCTGCAGTCCGTGAGGTTGCAAAGGGTTGGATACGACTAAAGTGACTTAGCATGCTTATATAACTGAAATGAAAAACAGGAATAAAAAGAAATTTCCCTGACCTGAAAGGTGAAATAGTACAGGTACTTCCCATAAAGTTGGTTTTAAGACCAGTATGCCTGTTGTATCTCCTACTGATCAAGATTGTACTGGAGCCCCTAACTGGTGCAATAAGAGAAGAAAGTAATACGTGAGGTGTAAGTATTAGCCAAAATGAGATGAAATCATTCTTAGTTATAGGCTAAGTGATTATGTAAATGCACCCAAATACTTCATTACACACACATAAATTTATATGTAAGAATATCTTTAAAAGGACTGGAAATATTCACAATAAAATTCATGAATGCTCTGGCTCCTGGGGGAGAGGGGTAAGAAGATGAGAATGAGGGTTGAGTCTCATGGTATCATCTTAGAAGACTTCCCACAGAAAATGAGATCTTGAGAATGAGAAAAAGCTATGAAGAGGAGAGGTAGGCATAGCCAGGCTGTAACAATAGCGTGTATGAAGAAGGAGAGATTTTCCTTTGGGAAATTTTATTGTAGGATTCTTACCATAAGAAACTTTGTAGTATCTGCTGCCATTTCAGGGGAAAAAAGTTTTAAAAAAGCTATAGGGGCTGGTAATAAGACCTTCTCACTTCATTAAATTAACAATATTTATTAAGCTCTGTGTCCTTTAAAGCCCCGAGAGGCGGTTCCATTCCAGAGGGTCTCCTGTTTGTGGGACGGTTGCTCAGGAGCCCCACTGAGGGGTTTCAGAATCCATCAAGCCACCACTTAGCAAATATCCTTTGAGACTTAAACTGTGTCTCAAAAACCCATCAGGCAGGGGGAGGTGTCCTCAAAGAGCTTGCTGCTGTGCTTGAGGAGAGGGGACAAGGTCTAAACGTAATAATTAAACTATACGGTGTGTAAGAAGGTGGTCAGTGCTACGGGAGAAAAAGCAGAACAGGAAAGGTGACCTCAGAGCCCTGAAAGCCAGCCTCCAGCGTTCAAGGAATAAGGATCAGCCTGAGGTGAAAGTGCTCTCCTTTCTTCTAACCAGCCAAGCTCTTTCTAGCTGTTTCTCTGGCTGGCACCTTCTGTCTTGCAGGTCTCATCTGAAACACTGCCTCATCACAAAGGCCCGAGGCCTGGCCAGTTTATCTCATGACACTTAAAGCTGATCTGTATGTCTGTTTTGTGTTAACTAAAGTCGATTTCCTGTGAGATGGGAAGCACCGTGGTAACCATCCCTGATTTCATCATCCGGGCACGTAGCAGGTGTTGGATGAATAAATAAATGGAAGAGAAGGTGGCAGGGAGTCTAAGAGGAATTCTAACAAATTGGTTTAACTTCTTACAGTTAATTTCTTTAAATTGGTCTAAGAAAGTGGGATAATTGTTTTGTGAAGAAACTTCTATATTTGTTGCATATAGATACCTGTATCACTTTAAGGTAGTATTGATAAAAAGTAGTAACTATTGAGGAGAAAGTAGCATGTTAGTAAATGTGGATTGCAGCTAGTACAGACTTTTAAGAAGAATAAACGTTTCAGTTTGTACTAAATTTTGAAAAAAAACCTGAATATGTTAACTAGCCTCTAAAAGTTGTATTAAAAATTCTACAATTATTTTTTAAGAATCATAGAGATTATATGTACAGTTTTGGATGGATTTGATCATTGATGAAAGTACTTTTATACTATATTTGAATTGACTTGTATTTTATTTCAAATTGAGCATTGTGCTGGACTTACTTTCTTATTTCAACTAGACATTTATGGCTATAGTACTGAAAAGTATCTTTTGGTAAGTCAGTAAGCCCTCAATTTTTTTCAAGCTCCTTCATAAATTCCTAGCACCTGAATACATACAAGTGAAATTCTGATTCACTAAGAATATTTCAGAAATAATAGCAGTGATGCCCTTGTTATCTCACTGTAGCCAACCACAAATACTGGTAAAAATAGGAACATCTAGTATTTACTGAGTGCTGACCTATGCCATTTACAATAAGCTTCTCTTATGCAGCAGTTTCTGCTCTATAGCTAAGGAATTTGCGGCACGGAGGGTCATTAGGTAATTTGTCCAAGAAGTGACATAGTCATGAGCCTGCACCAAGTGGCCCTGAGATGCACGGAATGGAAATGATCTGCTTTTAAGGAGGAGGGAAGAGAGACACACAGCTTGCCTGGAGCAAACTAATAATAGAGTGAGATAGCCAGCAGTGTAATTTGTGTCTTCATACCCTCGGTCCCCAGGCACTAAACTTTTCTTTTTTAATTTCAGAATGAAGAGGAAGTTCTATTCTTGGGATGAATGTATGAACTTGAGAGAAGTTAAGGTAAAACCCCAGGGATGACAAGAACCTGAGAAGACCTCAGTTCTACCCCACACATCTCTCATTCCCGAGGATGGTAGCTAAGGAGACTGTTCTGTTCTCTTAGTGAAGCAGACCAAAGATAATTCTGTTTCTTATGTTTTTCTTTATCTTCCTAAACTCATTTCTCATCAGAATGTCAGTGGAGAACAGAAAATAACTGTACCCTCACATTTAAAAGTACACTCACATTTTTAATGCCAGTGGTCTCCATTTATTATTCAGTTTTTCTAAACTTTTTATTTTGTATTAGGGTGTAGCCGATTAACAAACAGTGTTGTGACAGTTTCAGGAGGACTGAGCAAAGGGACTCAGCCATATAAATACATGTATGTGTATGTGTATTCTCCCCTGAACCTCCCCTCCCATCCAGGCTGCCAAACAACCTTGAGCAGAGTTCCCTGTGCAGAGTTCAGGAGGTCCTTGCTGGTTATCCATTTTAAATATAGCCGTGAAAGTACACTCTCACTTTTAAAAGAGTGCTTTAATTCATACTATCAAAGGAAAGACAAATTTTAAAATCACCACATACCATTTCTTTATATTTTATGTGTACAGTGTGGATACATTTTCGGAGACTTTTGCATGGATTTGCACACGGTTAAGTCAGAAACAAGGTTAAACCTATTTAATGGCCAAGAAAAAAAAAAGTCACAGAGTGAAATGCTTGATAGCTATTGTTGACCTGGTTTGTTTCGGCACGTACACTCATTCCTTAAACAATTACTGCTTACTTTATCTTTAAGATTTTACTTCTTTACTTGTGGCCGTGCTTCGGGCTGCCGGTGCTCGGACTTGCATTGCAGCGGACTTGCATTGCAGCGGACTTGCATTGCAGCGGCGTCCCTCGTCGGGAGCGCAGCCCGAGGGCGCTTGGTCTTCGTAGTCGCGGCTCCGGGGCTCCAGCGCGCAGGCTCCTTAGTCTTTCCCAGACCGGGGATCGAACCTACGCCTCCTACCTTTGCAGGCAGATTGTTTACCCCCGAGCCACCAGGGAAGCCCTATCTGCTTACTTTAAATAGGTGTACTAAGGTGTTTTTAAGATGTGTAAAATATTATCGGTATTAAAATACAATTCACTAATGAATTTAGAAGAAATAGAAAATTACATAAGGTAATTATCATACCTAGCATTGATGAGACTTTGCCAAATTTGGTATCTTTGCCTTAAGAATTTTTAATATTTACTTGCTCTGTTGCAGTCTCTGAAGAAACTTAATCATGCCAATGTGATCAAACTGAAAGAAGTTATCAGAGAAAATGACCATCTTTATTTTATATTTGAATATATGAAAGAAAACCTCTATCAATTAATGAAAGACAGGTATGTCTTTATGAAAATTAAGTTTTCCCTTACTATCTCTTCCATCAGTCCCTTGGGAGCCCTGCAATATTATCACACTTTGCAATATACAGGTCCAAGGAGTAGCTTTAAATTAGCTGTTATCTTTATCAAAGGATAATGTCTAATTGTAGAAGAACCATCACTTTTCTGTTGTAATCTCTTAGAAGTCAAGATAAATATTTCATATAAACATACTATCTATAGTTTTTGAAACAAAAATCTATAGTTTAATAATCAAGTTCTTTCTAACCCCTGTATGCAGGCTTGCGTGCTTTTTATGTAGTTGTAATTTTAGTGGTGATACATTTCTTATTTGATTTATCCACTTACAGGTTTTCTTTTAATGCTGATACATAATATCCATAGTGACCACAGTTAGTATATTCTGTTAAAGGACTATACAAAGCTTCGCTTATCTGTCTGCACTATTTAAAATAAGTAACTATCAATGGGAGAAAAGGTTGATAATTACAATGGATAATACTGATGTAATTATTTTGTAGCCACTAGAAGTGATAACTATGGAAATTATGAAAGTGCTTCAGTTCAGTTCAGTCCAGTCGCTCACTCGTGTCTCTCTGCGACCCCATGAATCTCAGCACGCCAGGCCTCCCTGCCCATCACCAACTCCCGGAGTTTACTCAAACTCATGTCCATCGAGTCGGTGATGCCATCCAGCCATCTCATCCTGTGTCGTCCCCTTCCCCTCCTGCCCCCAATCCCTCCCAGCATCAGGGTCTTTTCCAATGAGTCAACTCTTCGCATGAGGTGGCCAAAGTATTGGAGTTTCAGCTTCAGCATCAGTCCTTCCAATGAACACCCAGGACTGATCTC